TGGGGGGGGGGTGGTTCAACAAATACAAACCGTTGTCGTCGAAAAACTTGGCGACAATCTTCGTCTTGTGGATTGGCGCGTAGTCTTGAAGAAACTCAAAGTCCAGAGGGAGGCCGAGTTTGGCGAAATTTTCGCCTATGCTCTCCTCCACCATGGCAAGATAGTCCGTGGACTTCATTTTGCCTTCACACACCACCAGTGTGCCGACACCATTGTACCCAATGGCCCCCCACAACATGACTGTCTGGCGACCACTCTTGAACGTCGGAGCCAGGCATTCTTCCTTGAATTCTTCGCCGACCTTGCGCCACACATAGATGCGCCCCGACGAACCCGAGAGGTTGAATGGACTTTCGTCCGTCCAAAGAACCTTGTGCCAGTCTTCAGGCAAGCGATTTTGGTACTTTTTGGCATAGGCCAAACGCTTCCCCTTGTTGGCCTTCGAAATGAATGGCTTGCGTCTTGCTGCTCGGCCATTCAGTCCCTCGGCTTTGATCCGACGGCGAATCGTCTGGGTTGAGATGTCTTTGTCGTGAAAGACAGCAAGACTCTCTTGCAGAGTTTCGGCGCTGAGGCGCCGGTTTTTCTTGATTTCGCGGGTGATGAGCCGGTCTTCGCTCTCCGTCGTCACACGGGGTCTTCCAGAGCGAGGTTTTGGCGCAGATACACCGTTCTTGATCTTCCGTACGATTGTTTGGACCGTTCCCTTGGGGAGACGGAGCAGAGAGCCGATTGTCTTGTAGCCCTTGCCATCCTGGTGGTGTGAAATCACCAGATTTCGAATCGCCTGCGATATTTCGCTGCCAGGAGGTGTTTCGGTAGGATTGGCCTGCATGCTTGGTGCTTTAAGCGTCTTAGTGTGCTCGTGCGAGGTGAGAAGGAAAAGTGAGCTGTGCACGTGATGCATTGAATGTTTATTGGGGGTCTAGCGCCTCCAATCGTTTAGGGTATGCAGACTTTTGTACCGTCAACATCTTGACAGACGGCATGACATCCCACTTTTCTCAAGGATGCTAAGACCAATCAAACGGAAGAAATGGTGTTTCAGGTTGTCTACGTCAATGGCCATCTGTACGACGCATTCATGTGATTGGCAGATGCATAATGATCCCACAATCACTCATACATGAGTGCAGGTGCATGGGGTATGCAGACTTTTGTGATCCACTGTACATTAGGTTATGTCGATTCATTCTCCATGTCGCTTCAGTTTAGAGTAAACACAAGAATATGCGGTACATACAGAAGAATCGCCAGGTGAATTGAGCCAATCAGATTGTAGGAAATCATGACCAACATCAAATTAGTGTATGCTCATAATTATTGCTACATATATTATCGCATACTATGAATAGTATGGCGTTAACGTTATGATAATCGTCACCTATAAACTACCAACTTTTCACAAAATTTTCTGGCTTCTATTTCATATTCATTACTCAAAATTTCAGCAAATTGAGACGTAGAATCGAGAGATCTCAATGTGGTGAAGAAATTCTACGTCTCATATTCAAATTTGGTGATGAAAATAGATATTTAACCTAGTGGTATTTTACATGGGCGCATGGATATTTGGCCATAGGTGGCCGCTGAGATGTATCTTGATTTTGGTATGTGACTCTTATCCGTATGTAATATCCGGAGGCAGTTGGGACCTTTAACCTCCCACTGCAGTGATAAAACGCATAAAATCGGTATTTAACGTTTTGGTTTTTGGGTTTAACTACATTAATTGTACGTTAAATAATAAAACCTCCACTCTTCGATTTGGCCAGTTGGAAGTTTTTAGATGACGTGCATCATAGTAGAAAAATTCATTTCAAAGAATCGATCGATAGATTTGGCTACTACAGTAGTATTCAGCACAAAAGTCCAAATTTTTGACAAAATGACTAACGTTATACACTACCTATATGCGAGTTTTGTGATAATTGTGCAACGTACTTCGAAGCACTTTGAGCGTACAAAAGCCGACATTTTCAATTGTTACTTCGAAATTCGCTTGGGTACGAATTCTCGGATCACCACCTCGAGGCACCACAATCCTCACAACGTCGCCCAGCAGCAGCATGTCTTGGCAAGAGCAGCTCGCGACCATCTCGTCCCTTGAAGAAAGAGAACTCTTCGCAGTCCTGCGGCGGTACGGCGCCTCTCGCGTCTTCTCCCCTAGTGCTGTGCAACGGCCATGCACCCTTGTCCTCCGCGTCGTTCCGAGCGACCCAGAGTTCCCGTTCCGTCTGGAGAATGGACTTGTCGTACACGTCCACGTGCCTCTCGCATACCCGCAGGAACCAGCGGCATTCTCCATTGAATGCGACAGCGTGCCCGGGTTCCAAGCCAAGTTTGCACACACAATCGCGGCCCATCTTCACGACCGCCAAGCGCTGTTTCCAGGGCAACTGGTGCTCCGAAAGACCCTCACCTGGCTAGACAACAACTTGAGACTGATCATTCAACCACCTCGTCCGATCAAACAGCCACCTCCAGTCGATGATGTTGTCGACGACAACATCCCAATCAAAGCAGTTCCGTCGTCGAGCAGCGCCGCTACGTCTACAATTGGCCCGACGTCTCCCGAGGAACCCCGTGTCGATGTAGAGCCAGCTACGTCAAGTCTGACATCGGCGATGACGACGACCCCGCTTCGACGATGTCGCTACTTTGCAGCCGGAACATGCACCCAAGGTTCAGCTTGCCTGTTTGCCCACACTCTTCCTGTCAACCCACGTGTGAAACCAATCGCAACCAAGGGCACACCACTGAAGAACAGCTACACGGCTACACCCACGGCTACGGCTACACCCACGGCTACGGCTACACCCACGGCTACACGTACCAAAAAACGAGGCAAGGCAGCGGCGGCTACCAACTCGACGGCTACCCCAGTTACGGCATTGGCTACGACTATGTCCCCCCATAACCAAGTGTACGGTCCAGCGACTACGTCTCCAACCGATCCATTTCAAGCACAGTTGGACAACGCTTCACAGGTGGTGGTAGCCGCGGATAGCCTCGGCCAACCAGTCGACAGCACCGCCAAGTCTGTGCGACGTCGTCGGGCTCGCCGTAAACAAAACGATGACGTGTCACCACCTCCGAGTATACTCGTGGACAAAGCCAAGTCGATCCAGCCACCACCACTAGACAAGTCCGCCAAGGCCAGCTCGAAAAAACCCACACAGTTGTGTCGATTCTTTGGCAGAGGCGACTGCAACCAAGGCGACGCCTGCCGCTTTACCCACGCCCCTTCGACCCCAGACAAGGCAACCACGTCTCTAGTTGCTGGGGAAGCGGAACGAGTGGTGGCGGAGGATGATCATGATATATCGCCTCCTTTTTCCGACGAGAATCCTCCAGAAGACAAGAATGTGTTGAGCCACAACAGCCCCCGTGCTGTTGGGGATGCCGCCACTCTGTCACAGAAGGGGCCATGGACATCGTCTCAACAAGCTCAGCTGGACATGGCGTTGAAAGCGTTTCCCCCTGGATCGTTTGACAAGGCTAGAGATCGATGGCATGCCATTGCCGAGTGTGTGGACGGCCGCAGCTTGAAGGAGTGCGTTGGGCGGTTCAAGGTCTTATCTGAATACGTGAAATCATCATCTTCTCCCACCACCATATCACCCCCACCATATCCAGTCGCCGTCGTGAAGTCCGATATACACGCGCCCAAAGTTATCGGTATAGCAGCGGCTCGGCGGCTGCTGCATGTACCCGACTCCCCCCATATCCCCCCGGGCAAGGTACCAGCAGCAGCAGCAGCATCGTCCGCCCCCTCTAGCAGTACGCTGGAGACTCAAACAGATGACAACGATTCAAACTCGGAGAGAGATGACGAAGCCAGGGACGCCCGCCTCATCCCTGCGTCGTTGCGCGTTAAGCTAGACCTGGAAGTGGACCCGAAAGCCATCCACCTCCACCTGAATGGCTTGTTCTTGCATCAAGTGGACACGCTGCAACTGTATGAGATCAAATGTGCGTTCCAGTGCGCCCAATGTCCGCTAGCGTTTGACGCAGTGCTATCCCTGACCAAACATTCGATCCGCCAATGGTGTCGGCGGTGCAGTGTGCTTCAGACGGTGGACGTGCGCCCGGTGCTCATGCACGCTGGCAACCAAATGGCGATGAATTTGCACCTGATCAACTGCACACTGGTCGACGTGATGCCGCCCAGTGTCTTCTTGGCCGTGTGTTCGTCCTGTGCAGAGGTATTAACTTGGGATATATATATATATGTATTTTGGCTAGAATGCAACAAGTACTAAAATAGTGTCAATTTGTGGATGTGTAAATGTGCCTTTGACATGGACAAAAATGTATTTATATATTTAAATATGTACATTTTGGGGGAATCCTGTTCGTTCGTATATATATATACGTACACGACAAGGTGGCGTGATTTGTACACGTATGTTGTCGGATCAAAGGAGAAACAGTACCCCTTTTTTGTTATATATATATATGCGTTCTGACATCGTTAGATGCATAATATATATATTTATATGCCATTGTTTTCATCACCCTTGCAACAGGAAATCAGTTGTCTGTTGTATATATATACATATATTCTTCCACGCTTGATCGTACATTTTTGACATTTCAGTTACAGTTATACCCTATTTTCGTTGTACGCTACGTTCTAAACTAACTGTAAACAACGTAGTGGGCCCTTCTCTCACTCTATAAAAAGTAACGTCTTGGATTCTAATAGGAAGCGCTGATGGCGATAATCCCCCGCATTCGGTCAGAAGTGGCGTGTCGGCAGTGTCATGTTAAATTAGCCGTGGAATGCAAAGCATTTTCGATCGTAAACCAAAGCACAGACCGCTACGTCGACCATAGCCAGCCCAAAGCCAAGAAGAAACTCGTTCTAGATGACGGTATAGTCGTGGGCAGTCCTTTGCCCAACCAGGGCCGATGCGCCCACTACGCCAAGTCATTCCGGTGGTTTCGCTTTCAATGCTGCGGAAAGGCGTACCCCTGCGACAAGTGCCACGCCGCATCGGCGACGTGTCCAGATGCAGACAAAGGTGTGCTTAGACAAAAAAATCAAAATCGGAATGAAACGCTAGCTCTAAAATACGCCAGTGTTGATTGAATACTCTTGTAACGTTATGTTAATATTATATATATATATATATATATATATATATATATGTTATATCTCTATGACTACATGGAATCCTATTGTTCACATGCTGACAAACGTGCGTCTTAAAACAACATATCCTTGATAAAAAATGGGAATGCAAAACTACCAGCTCTAATCTACATTAGTATTGATCGAATGCTCTTGTGTGTATGTGAATATCATATACATATATATATATATATAATTGCATTTATACACACACATATATATAGATATACAATTCGCATTGTTACATACCACTGGTATATGCTAGTATATGCATAATTCGCATTGCTACATATATATATATACTAGTATATATGTATATAATTTGCATTGCTACATATATATATATATATATATATGTGAAATATATAACATTGTGAACAGGCATCTTTGCAAGTCGGTTTATTTGCGGCCTCTGTTCCCGGGAACACCCGAGTCAGTTGAAAGAGTGTCCGTGCGGAAATGTCGTGGGGGCTGCCAACACGAGCACCCACTGGGAAGGCGGCAAGGGGTGCCGCGACTTGGCGCGCATGTCGAGCGCAGATCCAAAGAAGTTTAGCGGCGTCTCGAAGACCAAGAGCATGAAGTTCAAGCGCGTGGGCGCCGAAGCCAAGAAGCGAAGGGAGCAGCGCCAACAACAGCAACATAGTGACAAGTAGAGAAGAAGAGTATATATAGCATTCCGTATGGGTTGTCAGTGGACTGTACGTACAGTAGTAAAGAGATATTCTATTTCTCGACTCATATTATTATACCATACATAGCATAAGAGTAGGAGTAAGAGTTAAAAAAAGCTTACGAAATCGTGAATATGTTGCCAGTCCATTTTGAATTGTTTGTGGTGGGCGGCATATGCTCCAGTGTAGCCGCTATAGACTTTATCGCTTTACATTATTCAGAAACGACTACTGTACGGTACAGTACCTAATATTCTGGAGTACTCGACTACTGTAAGTGGTGCACACTAATTACAGACAGCCAAGGTCACTCACTATACTGACCCCTCAAAACAGCATCGATTCCACTTACAACAGCCGTGTGCACCAAATCAGCAGACAATCGATATATCGACCAATCAAAACCCGGGTCACGAATCAAGTAGCCAATCAAATCAACCACTCGTTGACCAATACAACATCGAATTAGTGTGCGACTTCAATTAGTGTGACACTTGACGGATTTTACATACAAAAGTCAGGACAACCAATCGAACGATAGATTTGGCAAAGAATCCGCACTAAAGTCCGCATTGTGGGTAAAAGGACAATACCGGGAAAAGAACACAATCGATTCGTATTCGGTTAAGTTCCGCTTTCTACGGAATCGAACGCTGTCTGTCGTCCATCCATTTTCAATGCGATTATCTCGACAGCCTCTTGGATTCTACTTGAAAGGCCACCAAGAGCTCCACCCAGCACTCGCTTGATCGTCGTCTTCACCGGCGGCGGCGTCCGGCACCACACCCGAGTCATCGCCCACGTAGCGCTTCTCAAAGTTGCCCAAGCCAGGAACAATGCGGTGCTGGCTGTCGGACGCGGCATCGAATGCCGCCGTTACTAAATTCACATCGCCAAATGTCTACCACCGAATATATCATATTTGTGATGATGGATATCATGTAGGTAGATAAGGTCTCCGTACAGCGCAAAACTTGTCGGCGGCGGCCGGACACGTGACCAGAGTCACGACTTGGATGTGGTCTGGCGACACGCCTTTTTTCAGCAGCAGCTACGTCCCCAATATAGATATATATCCAATTAAAAAAATTAGCTGTAAATTAACGATTGAATAAGTTAAAAACAGTCGAATTTTTTAGTTATAATAATCATGCATGTTGGTTTTAAATATTTAACAATAGTTAAAAAGGAAAAAACAAGTAAACAAGAAGCTGGTATAGCAGCAATTACGTCCCCAATATATATATATGAACACCAGACGTAAAATTCTAGTCAAACTAAACAAGCGAAACCAAAGAGCCGTATATATTGTGGATTCGGTACGAATTTCCAGACCCCAAGTCGAATCACGCCGCCGAATCGAATCACGAATCGACGCGATTGGCTACGAATCCAATTTTTAGCGGATTTGATTGGCTCTTACTGAAAGGACAAGTATAGTCAGCCAATCAGAACTCCTGCGTGATTCAATATCGATTCGACAAACCACGCGAATTTTGCAAGTTTATAGCGCATATTCACAATATTGAATGCCCACCATACATATATCGACGTGTCCACTTTACTTGGATCGCAGGTTGAATTACGTCAAAGGACGCGAATTCAGGATGCAGCAATATCACGTGCATGTCTTCGATGCCATCTGGCAAGTCGACGGCCGCCAGCGCGCCGGGAGAGTCCCCTGGCGGACTCAATTGCAACTGTCCAATCGCTGAATCAAATGGAAGCGTGGTCTTAAGCAGCAGCTGCAACCTACATTTAAAGGGTGTAAGTATTGTACAATATTAAGCTTAAAAAGATGAAAAATATATCAAGAATTGACGAGTTAATAGGAAGAAGTATTATGGCTAGCCTGCCACAACCCATCATATTGTAGCGTTTCAAGGCTAAAGCAAGTCCATCCATTTGACCCAATATGTGTGTATGTACAGAAAGATGACGTACTGTTCACTGACAAGACTGCGTTCGACCAAGGCAAGGCCACACACAGTCACCCCCTCCTCGTAGTCGACGCCTTTGACCTTGTGGCCCAATGGTGTGGTCACCACCGTCTACAGAAACCAGATAGATCGATGGTCGTTGGATGGGGTAGTGATGATGGTGACGACGATGAGGGCAACGTACGTCTTCGTCGTTGGGCAACTGAGTGAGCGCCGATTCAAGCACGTTGCGGAGCAATTTGTTGGCCACGTGGACAAACTTGGCGCCTGTCGCGTTGAAGTCGCGCACGCGGGTGAGTCCCGTTTGAATGGTTTCGCTCTCCAAATCCAACACATCCACATTCTTGTGCTACAAAGTAGTCGCAGCAACACTACGATTGAAATTCCACTCGGTAGAGCACACCATTCAGTACAACTGGCACACGCCCTACCTTGGCTTTCCACAGCTCCAACTTGACGCCGCGACCCAACACTTGGCTACAAGTGAGCCCGATATAAATGGCCCCAAAGATGAGCCCGGATGTACGTACCCACTCTCGTAGATCTTGTCGCAACGGGCCGGACTATCGGGGCTTGATTGACTCGCAACCATGCCGGCAGCGGCCGCCGCAGCGGCGCCGAATTGTACCGTGTACTTTCGTAGCATTTGGAAGTGATGGTGAGGCCTTGGACGTTCGAAAATTGAATATAGCCAATGAGCTGGTGGCTGGACAATGAACCAAAGGCCATTGGACAGATCTGGCAAGTGGCGCGATGCCATTGGCTAATATATATTACTGCATTTGTCAAGCCAGCCAGTGCACATTGAAGTCAGATTTTATTGTTGTGGTGTTGAAAGTACAAGCAATCCAGACACTAGAACTTCAATGAACCTATACTGTAGTGTGGTACTCCTATTTGATTTGGTCGGTTGATTTTGACAGGATACTGCCCCTGACGTCACCCAACGCGTTCAAAGCAACAACCTACCGGTAACGTTACCGTCAACTCCATTCGCCACTGCATAAGTAGTACTGTACTGTATCTTGCCAAATCCAAGACCAAAGATCCACCATACCACTAATTAACATTAAGCATTGAGCAACGTTCGATACGTGCAATCTTTAGTACGCAAACCTGTGCAACGTAATGCCACACGTCGCTCATCTATTCAAATGGTCCTTCCAAGTGGCTTGGCAACATGCAACGGTTTCAAGCTGCCCGCCGAAAGGTCACCCCACCAAGCAAACAATTGAGCAGAAAGAATGCGACGGTGAAGCACGACGACATCGTCACAGAAATGCTCGCGGGGAACAAATATACATACTTCCACATATATCCTAGTATAGAGCTCTTGGGGGGACGATGTCGGACGAAACGCTCGGGTGTGTCAGCTGCCAACAACAGTCCGAATGAGAATATACTGTAGTACAGATGGACAACTACTACAGATACATACAGTAGCCCAGTGCAAAACCCTGTCGATCAATGTTGTTGCGCCCAATGACGAAGCTAACGTTACTCAATGACTATGCATCACGACTCTGGCGCCACCCCATGACGTGTGTGTGGGTTGGACGAGGCAGAATGTGCAGCACATTGTACGCGATATTTATTTACTTCGAAGTATTTTCGAAATTTCACACAGGTTCAACAGGTACAAAAGTATCTTCTTATCCACCGCCCGATTCGGCACGACATAGATATAGTCCTCGCAGCAATCACGCACTTGGAGTAGGGTTTGTGTCACTTTACTTTATTCGGTCATGCACCCACACAAGCAGCAGCCCGCTTCCGCCGCAACGTTACTCGTCGGTCCTGCAGCCACAGTACCTGATGGTGTTGCTTTGCCATCCGAAGCATCAGTAGCCCCCGTAGCTCGTCGCTGTGCCATCTGCCTCGACGATCTCGATGGCGCTATGGCGGGTGGAAATAACCAAACCTCCGAGACATACACATGTGGGTTCTGCAGCACAACAGTGTGTGATGATTGCATGTTGCAGTACATGCACATGACGATCGTAAACGAAGGCCGTCGTCGTCGTTGGACTGGTGCGAAGTTCACTTGTCCTGGCCCACATTGCACTGCCACGTTATCTCCAGACAACGTGCTTCAACACACGACGGCGGACGACTACCAACTGTTCGTGGATCTCGTCCAGCCCCCAGCCACCAAGAACCACCAATCGAGGATTGAATGTCCTCGATGTCACAGCCAAGACAGTGTCGTGAGCCGTCGAAAGGTCTTCTGTAGCGACTGCAACTTGACGTTTTGCAAAACCTGTGGCGACGTGTATCATCACTTTGGCTGCCACAAGGACAAGTCGTTTCAAGCGTGGACGCAGCATCACGACGTCCGATCGTGCCCCCAATGCCACGCCGCCATTGAAAAGACAGGGGGATGTACCCATATGACGTGCATCTACTGCGAGTTTGACTTTTGCTGGCTCTGCCGCGTGGAATGGCAGCATCACACTGACGTCATGTGCACCCCCCGGGCGTTCCTAACGTCTTCGTCGACGGCACTTGGACCGACAGCCCCGGTTCGCGCTGTGACCAAAGCGGTGGTGGTGGTCGCGGCGTTGGCCGTCGTGGCCGTCGGCGTGGGGGTTGCCGCCATCCTCGTGGCCCCTCCAATGCTCTTTGCAGACAGTGCCAAGACCTGGTGGCGTCGAAAAAAGCAAGGAAAGAGCCTGAAAACCTTGAAAGAACGACATCTAAAACAGGACCAACCTCCCCCCTGACTCCCCGTCAGTCCAGGCACGAAACAATGCATGTATGTAGTTGTACTCAACCCAGTTCATGCCGTCAGTACAAAACCCCTCATAGGAAAGGGGCGGTAGTTTGTACATGTATGTATGGCACTTCACAAATAACGTTATAACTTCAAGATTATTCACTGTTGAACTAGTCGTTGTGTGTATGTATGTACAATACATCCAGGGGGGGCGAGGAATCCGATTGTTGGCAGCGTCAATATGAACAGTCTGAAGGCACTGTTGTACATACTTTCGAAGAACTGTACACTACTGTACAGCACACACTTTATATTAAATTCAAGGTTGTTGGATTTATACGAAACGAGAAATAAAAAATGAAAATTTACTGTTAAAACAGTTGATTTTCACAACTATGACGAAGATTTTTTCCCGTTTGGCCTGAGCGACGAACGTTGGAAAGGCTGCCTCTGAACTGTTTTTCTGACCTGACAGTTTTTCATTCTGGTTTTGTGAAAAATTCATAAAAATTTAGTCGATTTGGTGCCAATTTTTGGTCGTTTTCCAAATATTTTTGACAACCATATGATGCATTGTTATTGTTTGATCATGCTCTGCCATTCCCATTCTGCAATCGAAAACATGGTAAGCAAGCCAAGGCAACCCCTTCCTTGGAACTGACTTGACATACCTCCAGGCCAAAGTGAACGATGAACTCGTCAAAGCCATCACCGAAGGCGACCTCCTCCAAGTCCTCCTCTCTGAACTCTCGGGCGAATGCAACATGAACAGCCTCTACGTCTTCAAGGACAAGAAAGGCTACGACGTACGTACATATACTATACCTCATGATGATGATCACCTTGTTCTCACACATTCTCTGTAGTGGAAGGCCACGCCGTTGATCGCCGCGGCGGCGCTGGGCCACACGGAACTGGTCCAAGGCTTCATCGATCGCGCCGATATTGACGTGGATGGGGTTGATGAGGTATACATCAAGCATCATCTCGCGCCTCTTGGAGCGTCTTCTCCCAACCACCCGATTGCATATGTATTCAAAGTACATACATGGTCACCCTCATTTGGTTGCTTGGGTAGAATGAAAACTCGGCGTTCATTGTCGCAGCTGAAAGAGGCCAGGTAGCTGTCGTGCGCCAGCTACTCGCGTCCAACAAGGTTGACATCAACTTTCGAGGCGAAGTACGTACGTTCGACCACTCAGTTATACACAAGTAGTATAGTAGTACTAGTAGTACTTTAGTACTGGTGCTGTCTGTCATTGGAGAGGAGCTCATATTGCCCTTTTAGTCCAAATTTGGACTTTTGATATTTCGCCAACTCCGCGTTGTCCTGCGGGGTTTGAAATCACACTAATTGCAGGAACACACTAATTAATCGTTTTTGATACTGGTTTCCTGCACTCTGATTGGCTAAATATATCGTTCTGCCAATGATTCTTCTGTAAAAATAATTGTTTGGTTGTGTCGATTCTTCATTCGCCACGTCTGTTGCTCCAGTTTAGAATACTAGACACCACAAACAATATATACTCATATAATATGTTATACTATTAATAGACACCACAAACAATATATACTCATGATATGTTATACTAGACACCACAATATATACTCATGATATGCTAGTACAAGGAAACTGCGCTGTACAAGGCGGCAGAAAAGGGCCAAGTAGCCGTGGTCCGCCAACTGCTCGAGCATCCAGACATCAACGTCAACTTGCCCAACGATGTACGTACACAGGATTACGTTGCTCATAGTGATGATGCTACCTATTCCATTGATGCATTGTGAAGATGTACTACTCTCTGTGTACTACACACACACACATGGAGATTACGCATTGCTATCCCATCGATATATATACATATATATATATACATATATACCCGTGGCCTATTTATTATATACATATAGAATTGTCGATTTGATACAAATTTGGGGGGGGGTGCAATCGAATCGCGCCGACCACACCGAGCCACAATCGATCTGATTGGTTGTTGAATTTCATTGAGAAGTTTTTGATTGGCTAATAATTTTGAGGTCATCTAAGGTAGCCAATCAAATCGATTTAAATTCCAACGAGAAACCATACCACAACACGAAATTTCACTCGAAAGCACAATATTAGTAGCACTATATCATATATAGAGGTGGTGTACACACGTAGAGCAATGTGACACCGTTGGTGGCTGCGGCCGAAAGCGGCCACGTTGTCACGACCAAGCTGTTTCTGGAACGCATAGAAGTCGACGATGCGGTACAGTAATGTTATCCACTTTTTTGCGATATTGCACTTCTGTGACACTGTGCACTAGATTCGCCACCCCGCGCTCCTTGCAGCGTGTGTGGCAGGTAAAGACAAGGTCGTGGCGATGCTCTTGGCGCGAACGGATATGGACGTGAACGTCATGGACAAGGTACTTTTTTCTATTTGTATACTTTGTTCGAGGTTATGACGTGGCAGCGTAGTATGGCGACACGCCTCTGATGGCAGCAGCGGAAGACGGCAGCGTCGCCAACGTCACTTTGCTCTTGGCCAATCCAGCGACCCTGGTCAACGCCCAAGGCTCGGTACGATATATATATTCCACTTGATGACTCATCACTGTCTACACCCACAATATTTTCCTGTATTTACTTGTTTGAGTAGAATTGTCGTTTTACCCGCAAATTCAACTTTTGTGCTGAATCGCCAGATCTATCGATCGATCGATTGTTTGTTACTGAATTTAGTGTGTAAAGAGGTGGATTTTGGGTATCACACTAATTAAAGGCACACACTAATTTGACGTTGAGGCTAATTTGCTGCAATCTGATATTGCTCAATTTTCTGCAATATATTTAGTTGTGTCGATTCATACATTATCATGTCGCTCCAGTTTAGAATACACACACACATAACAATAATATATATTCTAACACTCATATATCACGTCGAGTGTAGCGCAACCAAACAGCGCTGGGTAAAGCGGCCCAATACGGCAACATCGGCGTGATCCAGCTGTTGCTTGACCACGGAGCCGACCCGTCGATCCTAGACAAGGTAATACTGGGAACAATACTCTTCCCGTTCAGCTCGAATCTCATCGAAAATATTTCGAAAATAATACTAGGACGGCGACACTTGCTTGGAATTGGCGCTAAAAGAAGACCAGTACGAAGCCGCCGTCGTGCTGCTAGCCAGTGGCATGCCAGTCCACCATATTCACTTCAAAGTACAACAATACTAGTATCCACACTGGTCTTTCTTATCATGTTCTTGTACACTAACTATACTACCCTATAAAAAATGGTCAATATAGCCTCGTTCGACTTTACCCTATTCATATCTTTGCCTATATATATATATATATATATATATATATTTACACATTGCTTGTCCATAGGACAAGTTAGTGTTGGAATGGGTGGCACCGTATCTAACCCATGACGTGGCAATCCGGCTGTTGCAATTGGATTTCCCCGTCGAACGAACCGCCAACGGCAACATCGCGGCGCGTGACAGCCATTCGTTTTCGTGGTCAACGTTCCTCGACTCCCATGTGCCCGTGGACACCTCTGTCCGGGTGGCGGTGGTAGCCACCCTTCTCGGCACTGAAAAAGACGGCGACGACTGGGTCCGGGAGCTCGCGACGGCCAAAGACCAGCACGGACGGGAGGCCCTGCACACAACCGACGCCGCGACCCGCGACCTCCTGAACGGCCTCCGCTTCTTCTGCGGCCGATATGAACTCTTCGACGGCCCGCCGATCCACGTGAGCGCCACGGCGGTAGTTGTGAACGCATATGACCACGGAGTGTTCCGCCAAGTGTTTGAGCAGTTTGCCAATGATTGTGGCGAGCTGGACAAGAAGGGGTTCCAGGCGTGCGGGAGGCTGCTGGGCCAACAACCCACCGATGTGAAAAAGGTACGACATGACATATATATATATATAGGGAAAAGGAGTAGACGACACCCGTTTCAATTGACGACTATGTGTGAGTGTTGTGAGTTTTTGCGAGAGAAATACAATTTATAGTTTGCACTCGTGCCGACATGTATCTTGACATGATATTTTACCCCATAATAATGGGGACTTTTGTGCTGAACCGCCAAATATATCGACCGATTCATTGTACTGAAGTTTGTATATATATACAAAGGTAACAATTGGTATCACACTAATTGAAGTCACACACACTAATTAAACGTTGATGAACGGCAATCTGATTGGCTCAATACTTCCCCTTTTCTTCTGTGTACATTATATTTGGTTGTGTCAATTCATAATCGATGTCGCTCCAGTTTAGAATAAGCCCAAACACCATTGTATACCGCATTGAATAAGCTTAAAACCGAACTCCAGTCGATTCTCAAATTAGAAAAAGAACCCTTTATATTTGGATTTCGAGGATAACTATGCAATATGGCTAACGTGAATTGATTGGGGTTTATTGTGTTTGCTTTCCGTCCAAACGTACATATACTACTACGTTATAGTTTACTTTGGATAGACAGACACACACATGCATATATTACGGTGGCTATATATATATATATGTTCATCTTGTATGCATGACGCTTACAGTACTTGGACAGTAAACTCCTGCCTGTCCGATTCTTATATATATTCACAGCTAAAACCGTAGAAAGTGGACGCGGCCGTGGAGTTTGACTTGTGGGACAAGGACAAGAGCGGGTACTTATCTGCTAGCGAGTACATTCGATATTGCGACCAAACGTACGGCGGCAAGCTCAAAGTCGCCATGAAGTTTATGCGAAATGCCGACGAACATGCGCGCGAAGTGGACACGCGAGCCGATCTCGACATTCACTTCGTGTTGGGGTTGCTGCCAACTTTGCCCCAGGCCACATTTCACGCGAACGTGGCCAGCTTGACTTTGCACGGACGAGGGGTGGCCATGGCAAACTACCCCCACGTCCTAGTGATGCCAGCGGCGGACCGGAGCTTGGAGGATGTGTTCTTGAAGGAACGTCCGAATGACAATCAGATTCGCAGCATGTTGCATCAAGTCGCGGAAGCGCTGGCGCATCTGCATGATCACGGCGTTGTTCATGGAGATTTGAAGAAACTTAACGTCTTGCGTGTGAACCATCGCATGCGATTGATCGATATGGACGCTGCGACACCGTTTGGAGCTCCCGTGGGGGCCAAGTTTAGCTCGGGCAGTTTGCCTCCGGGTACGGTTTTATAAGGATGTCAATACTCGGTCTCTATTGACAGCATGCTCGTCGCCTATATATATATATATATATATATATATATATATATATTTTGTCCGTTGACCCGATATTTGGAGTTTGGTGCTGCTTGACGCTTGCGAAATCATATCTATCGATTGATTCATTCGATCGAGTACGGAAGTTTGTATGTTAAACAGTGTCCTGTGGGGATGGGTATCACACGAATTTTATTCGAGTCATACACTAATTTGACGTTGATGGTGGTTTCCTGCAATCTAATTGGCTCAATCCTTTGGCCGATTCTTGTGTACCTGTATTTGGTCGTGTGGTATCTCCATGTCGTATATACACACCACAATCAATATATATACTTATATATATATATATATTCATCGCGACACTGGTGTCTCGAGGTAGAAATGTTTTACAAGCTCCAGAACGACGACGAGTTTGCTGCCATTGCAATCCACTGGCAACGTACAACAACCCCCCACACTCTGGATGATGTATGGGCCAAAGTGCAACCTCGCGACCAGTTCTGCATCAAGACCTTTCACGAGTCGGCGTCGACATTGCCGTTCCAGCCCGTGGTGGCATCTCCAGCGCTGGATGTATGGGCGTTCGGGGTACTCATGTACCAAATGTACAGCGGGGTGGAACTCGTGCCTACAGACATCAATCAGGACGTGGACGACAGCGGCATCGCGCGGGCGGCCACGTGGACGGACACCGACCTATCGAAACGACTGCAAAATAAAGTTTCGAACGCCCTTGCCCGCGATTTGATGGCCAAGTTGCTTGTTGTGGACCCCAGCGATCGCATCAGCGTCCATGCAATGTTAAGCCATCCGTACTTTGAAGTGAAATATGACGACGCGACGGGCGGCCAGCGGCTCCTGGTCGAGAGATTGGACGCGCTCGCAGTTCAAGTCACGACGGGGTTCCACGTCATGGCCTCACGGCTCGACGAAGTGGTTGACTTGACCAAAGAAACGCTCAATGCGGTGGGGGCGGCCAAGCAGGATCTCATGCGCGGGATCTTTGAAGCCACCGAAGTCGCCTTCCCCACGTCGTTTGTGATTTTGCCGTTCGATTTGACCTTGCCTCAATGTAACGACGACGACAACGACCCCGAGGACATGCTGCGGGATGTGACATCGTTCATTCAAAAGGGCATCGACATGGGCCACAATTTTATGGCTGCCGTCCACCAAAACAAAGCCATCTCCCGCGCGCTCCGACTGGTTGGCCCAGGCGAGCCGCTCTTCCTGTACCTTATCGACGAAGTGCACGGGTTACCAGTTGTGCCAACTTCTCCAGGTTCACACTATCCCATTCGCATTGAAACCAAGTCGGACGAGTACACGCAGTTCATGTCGGCTGCAATGCCGTACATCCAAACGGGGTTCCGCCTACTGAAAGGAGCCAGCACGATTGCCAGTTTGGTGTCGTGTCTGGGCGTGCTGCCGTCACTCGACCCGAATGTCCTCGACGAGATGGGCGAACACATTGAAAACGCCCAGAAAACGTCGTCTGTGTTTGATTTTGACGTGCTGCAGACCGCCGTGGAGGACCAAGGCGGCGTGCCCGTCCAGCATATCCGCGGCGCCGCGCTTCGCGAACTCGAGCGCTTCTTCAAGAAGAACGACCGCGACAAGGATTACGCTGGACTGTGTCGCACATATGCGTCCAATGGACAAGCGCTGTGGACGACCAAAGCAACCGTTGCCTCGATGGAACTCGCTAGACCCACAAGCACAGCGTCGCTGAAATCGGCGCAAGCCAACCAAACCAGGAAAGCGGGTGGAGGGAAGACAGCCCAGCAAGTGTACATGGACCTGCTCGCGCTACATGACTTGGCGCAAGAGGACGCGGTTGTAGAAAGGATGGTGCCGCCGATGCTCTTACCGCAGGGGAAGATGCGATCGAACGGCGACCGACCGCCCAACTGCTGTGGGATGATGTAGTAGGTGGTGATGTGTCCTGAGTAAAAAGTTAGATTGCGTGCACTGTTAACCCTAGTAGACGGGGGCTTTAAGCAGCAGTGTGGTAACCTGATTGATATATTACAATATTCTGGCCCAAAACGCCATTTTGGGGTTACATTCGATAGTTTACATCTGATAAACATTATTATCATGTCCTGCTGTTTAACACAGTTTAACCGAAATCCAAGAATTCCAAGCAGGATTTACTCCTTGAGCTCCATTTCGAAAATGGAATTTTTGGTTTATCGCATTGGTCCAGAAAATGAAATATTATTTTTGAAATATTACGAGGCGAAGTACATAAATAGTACTTCGAGTCCGAAGTATGAATAGGTAGGATATAAATATCACTTTTCACATCCATGTCGACCAACCATTGGGATGATAAAGTCGTAATGTTTGTTGTTCAACTGCTGCTTGAACCTGCGTAAATGCCATCTTACCAAGCAAGCATTGCAAATATGCCCGACAAATCAACCAAAGTTGCCTCCAAACACATGCAGAATCCAAGCCGAATGTAACATCTCAATCCTTAATCCCCTTATAGCTTCCAACACGATATAGTCTTTGGCTTGATAGGGAACAACTGAGCTGACTGGATTATCTAATATTATTATGGTACAGATGCCACCCCCTGCTGTGCATGTTGCCGTGTCCTACGCCTCGCGTTTTCGACTGCCTCTTTCTTCTTCTAATGGTAACCCAATGGAATTACTGTTGCTGCTATGATCGCTGCTGTCCCGCCTTTCTTTAGCCATAACCTCTTCGATGACGATGGGAATCTGTGGGGTGTTCTCGGACATGGGTTCGGCAACGTCGTCGCAGCACGCCGTCCTCCACGGGTTGTGGTCAGCCGGAAGGATCATCTCTGGGGCCATCGCAGTCTCTTCGTCCTCGACGGGGGGGGACATTCCAAACGCCGCCTGGATCTCCACATACGTTTTGTTGGCCGTCTCGGGCACAACGACGGCCACGAACGTTGTCACAGCTACCAAACACCCAATGAAGATGCAAAACGCATAGTTCCCCAGGGCGTCGTCGTCTGCCAGCATCGGATAGAACACGCCGACGCCAAAGTTGCTCACCCACGTGCTAAATGTGCCGACGGCCCCGGCGTCCGCTTTGAGAAAGTCTGGAAACAGCTCCGCCGACACCATCCACGCCATGGATCCAATGGACACACAATATGCGATAATGTACACGCACACACATGTGACCGCGACCGCCGCGTTTGCATGCACGAGGCCGAGCACAAGCCCCCCCGCGGACACGGCCATCACCGTCATGCCAGTCACGAGCATCGTCTTTCGCTGGAATTTGTCCATGATGCGGGCGGCTGTGAGGTTTGCCGTCGTGCGAATCACGTTGACGATGGTGTTGGCGACTCGGGGGTCGGACAGCCCCGCTTTGTAGAAGATGCTCGCCGAGTAGAACATGATGGCATTGATGCCCCCGAGCTGCTGCGCCATGCACAGCACGACGGCAATCACAAGCTGCAGCCGGAACTTCTTGGAAAACAAAATACGCCATGGGCTCACGCCGGCCAGCTCCTTGGCTTCGTCGGCGTGCCCCGCCACGAGCGAGTCCACAATCGCGTGAAAGTTGGTCGGTTGGTACAGAACTTTCATGGCGGCGGTGGCGTCGTCCAGCTTGCCTTGGCCCACCAGCCACATTGGACTCTGGGCCATCCACGGCATGAGCACGAGCTGCGCCGCCGCTAGACCGATTGGGACTGCCACGAGGGCCCGCCACGCCACTTCGTGGGTCGTCCCCACAGCGTAATGCGCTGTAGTGACGCAGAGCGACCCGATGGACACGGCGGCTTGAATGCCAGTAGAAAAGAGACCCCGCATCTCACACGGAGAGATTTCGCTGATGAGGACGTTGGACACGTTGATGGCCGTGCCCGACGCGATGCCCGAAAGCAACCGCCCACCTGCAAACGTGTAAATGTCGTGGGAAACGAGTTGGACGGACGCCCCCGCGGCCATTACGAACGCGTTGAATCGAAGGGTATGCTTGCGCCCAATCTTGTCGGCGGGGAAGCTGCTCAGGCCGGCGCCAATGGCGGCCCCCACGATCCACGCCGTCACCGTCATGGTCCATTCGCGCTTGGAATGACCTGGAAACATGATGCACGTGCCGGGCACAACTACCGGGACGACAGCACATCCCGCGTTGAAAGGAAGGTAGTTGAGCTGGGAGAGCAACCAGCCCGATTGAAACGATGCAATGAGGGCTATCGCCACGGAAATGTACAATACACGCGTGGGCAGCAGTGCCTTGGCATGTTCGGGGTGGATGAACGACTCGAGACGGGTGAGGACGCCGCGAGACGTGGTGCGGTGCAGGTTGCGGTAGCTCTGGCCGCCCCGATGCAGCGACTGCCGCTTCGGTTTCACGTCGTCTTTTACGCGGGAGTAGTCGCAACTGTCCATGATGGTGTTAGGGTTATCGCTTCGAGGCGTGCCAAAGTCGCTCGCAAACGACGTGGACGTTGTGAAGGGCAGGGGGGCCGAGACTGGTACGTCTGAGGGAGGAAGGGGTGCAGGTCGCACGTTGCGCTGCTCCATGCTTGCAATCGTGTTTCGGACACGAGCAATGTGTAAATGCACCCGTGTCACGGCTGCCATGATTGGTGGAAAAGACACGCAATAGCACTACATTATGGAGCGCTCAACCGCAACGAAAGAACTAGCATTGCCACTCTGGGGTATATTTGATGCCCCACGTGCACTATCATCGTGGGTAACTCCTCCTCCGGCCTTGTGCAGAACTGGCGGCAAGGAGACTGCAGTGTCATGCGGGGCTGCGGGGATTGGTCGGTGTTTACGCAATACTAGTGTCGGACTCGAGTTTCGTGTGATGGGTATGTCACATTACGTGATTGAAAAAACGAGCGATATTTTGTTCATGTTATTATAACAAGGTGAAAAGCATATTGACATTAGTATGGTGGCATGCATAGAAATTCCGAATCATGACATGGAAGCTGGGGCAGTTGGAAATCGGAACCAAGGTTCCGATATGGCGCGGTCAAGAGGGGTGGTGGGTTGTGCTCGATACTCTCTCAAGACTGAGGTGGTGGCTAGCACCATGCACGACCACATGTGCACTATTCCAGCTAGATTGAGGATCATTCATAAGTAAGATTGTGTGGCAAATAGAACCTGTGACAGAATTCACTAGTCCACTACACCTGTTCGGTTGAAGTAGCATCGGATTGGCTTGGGTTAACCAATCAAGAATCGTTCGACCCGAGAAACAACATTCATTTTGTGCGCAAAAACTTGCAAATTTTTACCACTACGTAAAAGTCATGAATATTCAGCGGCATTTTTGTGTTAATGTCAAACACCACTGGTTCAACATGAGAGTCCTGGTTCGTGGCTTAAGCTCACTACATATACGTATATACTGTACGTCGCAATGTATATTTATGGTAGTACTTCTTTGCATGTTAGCGTATTAACGGCCAATTTACTGTTAACGTTACCCTGGAAAGCACATTGCACTTGGTTAACATACACTATATTACACTCATTTATTACATTGCGGCTAGCAATTGAGTCACGTGCTGCTCGTGGCCTGCCAACCGGGCTTGGACCAACACTGTGTGTCGAGCCGACTCTTTGTCCAGCAGATGCGACCACAGCAGTCGCACGACCCCATCGTGGCCGGCGCACGCAGCTGCCAAAAGCGCACTAACACTACACAGGACACCAAATTCGGTCACCAGAAACCGGACCACGTCGAGGTGGCCTCCCGTGGCCGCAGCATCCAACGCGCGAACCGTGCACCTTGCCTCCCGCACGCGACTGAGCCATTCAATGACTTCTAGATGTCCCCTTTCGGATGCTCCGTCCATCGCTTCGGTCGTACAACCTTCCGAGCGATGAGTGTGGAGGAATTGGATGACGTCCAGATGGCCATTTGCCGCCGCGCCGTTCATGGCCGCGGTGGACGCGCGTTGTCCGGGTCTGGCGTGAAGAAACGTCACAACATGCATGTGTCCTTGCGTGGCTGCCAGGTCGAGCAGTGTGGTTGAATTTTGGGGTGACGAGATCATCGACGTCGACAATTTGGCGAGCAGGAAGCGCAACAGTGGCAGACTCCCAACCCACGCCGCGTACGCAACGATGACAAGTCGAGGGGTCGCGGACGTGGTAGAAAGCAGGCGCGTGACGCCTGGGACGCCGTGAATCCCAAGCCACCGTTCAATTTTGTCGTGAAAGGCATGTTGAAAGAAGTCGGCGACAGCAGGCACGGCACGGAGGTCTGGGGCGACATGTGTGAGTTGGGTGATGGGGGAGTCCAGGAAGAAGACGCCGGGCTGGAACTGACAGATAGAGAGGACTAGGTCGTGCGACGACAGGACAGAGGACGCTGTATGCATTGTGCGCGCTGTGGCGTCGGCGATGAGTTGGGTTGTGAGGCGGCATGCATGTCCATGGCGTGAAAAGTCGGTTATAGGTACAGTACCGTAGTTGTTGTTCGCTCATAATTGAATGGGCCAATGAAAAGCCACGAATGAAAACTCTCGTTGCTCATTGGTCCATTTCCCAACGTTGTCAGCAAGAACTGAGCCAATGGAGATCCAGAAATGAGTTGACGAATGCGCAATTGGGCGAGAAGCCGACGATTCTTGTGGTGGCGCCGCATGAAGGCAGGGACGCGTAGGGACGCAGTGTGGGATGTCCATGATGTTGACCAAGTGGAAGCTGAAGGTTGGCTACACAATGAAGGCTACAAGCCTTCAAGGTTGCAAAATATATAATGTACAGCTGTCAACCGGCATTTCGTCGCCATGCTATCCATACACCTATCGTCGTCGTCGTCGTCATTACCTTCATTTGTGTAACTGCCAAACCGCAATCATAATCTTGGATCGAGATATATCAGAAGTGAAGGGGCGGACGGACACACACGTGTGGCACCATGGCAACTTCTTCCGCGTCCATAGCCGACGCCTTCCGTGGCCTCAACAGTGGTGAATTCCTTTGTCGGGTCATGTCTCGGACGTCGTCGTCCGCAATCACAGTTCTAGATGGACTGGACAAGGACATGGCGACGTTTCTTCACATGCCGCTGCCTTCGCCGTCCGAGCATGCCATGAAACGAGCATTCCTTCGCACTCGACGAGCCCAGTGTCGGGTAAAGCCCGACCTTCATCCTTCCATCACGATGTGGTTCCTTTGCACGTAGCGCAAAGCTCAATTGGAAGTCGATTCCATCCGCGCGACTGCCACCGCGCTGGCCTCGTCCGCCACCACGGCAGTGCATGTAGAAACCTTGCGATGCGCGTCCGAAGGCTACTCGACCGAGTTTGCCTCGTGTCGCCGCAGCGTCGACCAAGCCCTCATGACGTACTTGTTGCGATTCTACGCCTCCATCGAAGTCGAACGGCGGCATCTTTTGCATGTCCAATCCATGGAACGAGCCGTCTGCGACGCGGCGTTGGCTCGTGCAAAGCGCAATTTGCACTTGGAGTACGACACAGATCATGGTCGATATATAATTACAACCCTGTCTGTTTATGAATGTTTGAATCAAGGCTGTTGTTGACATGGTGTGTATATATGTTGGGATTATAGCACGTTTGCGTTGTACTTGGAGTCCGAATCCGCAGGCCAAGTGCAATTTCGGCGTCTCGACGCCACCCATCCACAAGGCGTGCGATGTCGCCGCGCCGCGCTCGACAACGTCAAACCCCACGGTCCCCGTACGTACATGCGACTATTGAATCTGATTTGTGTTGATCTGTGTGACTGTTGTTTCGAGCAGCTATATACATATATCCTTGTTATTTCGAAACTTTTATTAATTTTGATATTCCTATGCATCCGGATAGCATAAATCTGATGGATACATTAAGGCGAAAGAGTCCTATTATAGAACGTGTTGGGGTCAGATTTATGTTTGGATCTTTCAAATATATGTCTGGCCCCTATAAAACCCGCCCGGTGGGAGCAACACCGCCTGATTCGGTTTGTGATTCCTGATTCTATCAGGCCACCGCCTGATTCTCCCAACCAAAACCATAATATTAATAAAAAAATATATATATATAATTTAAAAAAAATACATTTACACTGGTTTTGTCCTAGGCATGCAAGTCGTCGACGTGTATAAGATTGAAAACCATGTCGTGCTCGAGCGATTTCAATCCGTCGTCGCATCGCTGCCTTCCCCCAAAGTCAAGGGCTTGTTCTGCTCTGTCCCAGTAGCCGCCATCGAGCGCTGCGTGGCGTTCGGCATGACGGGCGACAGCAACCCCCCTGTGTTCCGCGCGAGTTGGTACTCTAACACGTCCAAGTACGCCCAACCCGTGGCCACGGCCGCCGCCCCCATCCAGGTGACACCAACTTTCTTTCAGACTTTGTATGGGGGGGGATCTTGAGAGAGGATTAGTTTCCAAAACGCTTTTCGCGGTATAGCTCCTTCGACACGGCCAACTCCCACAGATGCCATCACGAGACGACGACCCAGTTCTTGGCGCTGTGCCGTGTCGTGATGCAACAGGTGGCGATCGCACCGGCTGCCACGTCATCTCCGTTCCCATCCCCATCTATCGACACCATGTACTTTAATGCTGAGGTAGATATATATATATATATTTAGATCAACCGCCTTGATTCATTCGATTTTGCAATCCTTGCTTGGGGTGGCAACCTGATGAATTGCGAAGATTGAAATCTCAAATGTTCATAACATATATTATGTGGTTGTGCTACAGGAAGAGTACCTGGTACGACATGGCCATTACGTGGTGCCCGAGTTTTTGATTCAGGTAACTAACTACAGGTTATTGTGCATTTCTCCCCAATTTAGTCATTTTTCGCCATACTATAACGATACAAGGTTAGTATATTTGTGGTTTTGCCCTATGCGGTGCATCAAAAGTCAATAAAGAAATATTTTACTACTAGTAGTAGTATATATTTTCTGAATAATTATACTAAAATTAAATCTTGTGCTTTCGAGTGAACTTTCGTGTTGTGTGGCGTGGTTTCTCGTTGGAATTTAAATCGATTTGATTGACTACCTCAGATGAGCTCAAAATTATTAACCAATCAAAACCCTCTCAATGAAATTCAACAACCAATCAGATCGATTGTGGATCGGTTTGGTCGGCGCGATTATTCGATTGCACCCGCTCCCCAAATTTGTACTATCAAATCGACAATATTGTTCCGCTATTTTTTATAAAAGTAAGTTTGACACAAATTCGGCAGAACGTGATTGGATTGGCTTAGGTCTTTCATCCAGTCTCTTTATCTATTTTGGTGAGCGCTCCAGTTTCGACTCGATTTGACAAGAATAAATATATATATTAGGTCCGACGGTGTTTAGCCGCGAGTGTTCTGATCCAATATATTGTTGTTAGCTCGAGATCGACGAGCCAGTTTCAACCCAGGTTGTTCCTCTCAAGGGTACTGCTACTAGTACCAGTGGACTTCAAGGTGAAAACGACCTCGCCCCAGTCTTGGAACTGGCGTTGCTCGGACCACACGACCAGCTGCCGCGCCCGACGGCATTTCCGTTTGAATCCGTTGTGGCGGGTATCAATAATGTGCCAGCAGCAGCACCAGTGGGGCCTTCGAAAGGGTTGCGGAAAATGAAGCCCGAACTCTTTGGCACGACCGCCGCCTCCGACTGCCCCCCAACGACCCCCGATTTCCACGTGAAAAAGCAGTGGTTACTCGTACGAACCAGTGTCGTACACGCCACTGTAGGCGCGTTGCACCAGTTCTGGGACCGAATGGGGCAAGCGTGGCACCTCCGATATCGCAATCACAACACTAGCTCGATGATACGCCACAGCAACAACCAGCTAGAAAGTGGTGACACGACTGTACCGTTGAGTGACACTAAAGCATGGAGTGGAAAGGCAAAGTCGGTCAAAGCCAAGCTCAAGGCGGCCATCATAGCTACCAGCGGCAGTCCGTATTGTGTAGGTCGATAACCACTGTAGAAACCCTTGGCGAAATCGACGAAACAGCTTGAAATTAAGTGCGAGATTGCGTTTGGGATATAGTACTCTATATGTTGTGAAGAGTTCAAGTTGGATATTCATGCAAGCCCATACAATATATATATATATATATATATATATATATATGTATATATACTGTACCATTCATGCGATTACATGCTGAGCTTTCAACTTGGACTACGTACAGTACACAACCCAGTAGTGGCAGAATAATGGTTGGCGTCGTACAAAAGTTTACTATCTTGTGGATTCGATACGAATTTCCAGACCACGTCGAATCGAATGTATCTCGCCGCCAAATCGAATCACGAATCGACGCGATTGGCTAATCCATTTTTGAGGGGATTTGATTGGCTCTTGCAGAAAGGACACATATATTCAACCAATCAGAAATCCAGCGTGATTCCATATTGATTAGACAAACCACGCGAATATTGCAAGTTTATAGCGAATATTCACAATATCCATGAATGAAATTAAGAGTGTGGGGTAAGGTCAATCTATTGTCGATTTGATACAAATTTGAATCAAATCATGGTCTTTTTGAATATGATTCTTGTCATTGACTTTTTTATAGTACTAGTACATATATTATTATATTCCTTTCGCTTGTACTCCCTCCATGCAACTTAAAACTTAGCTGTTATGTATACATATTTTTTAATCTAATAAAGTCGTCGTCGTGGCTCTTCATATCAATCACTGTTATCGGCCGTGGAAGAACGCATTCCGCTTCGCAAGCACCGTTTGTCCTTGTCTGTACACGGCGTTTCGCAGCAACGCCCTCTGAGCTTCCGTGGGCGAATCGTCATCGTTGATGCTCGAGTCCATGTTCCCGGCCAAATTAACCTTGTAAAACGAAGCTTCGTCCGCCCACGATGCATTTGAGTCGCCCCTTCTCAGGGCATACACGGTCCAGCATTCTGTCACGAGCGTCTTCTCTGGGCTTAATCGTGTGGCCACAATCCTACGATATTATTTCAAATATCTCTTTTAGTTGTGTGAGTAGTTAGCATATATAAATATTGTGGTGTGTTGATTCGACACTGGAGAGACATGGATATATAATGTATGAATCGACACCAACCAAATGGATGACAGAAGAATTGAGCCAATCAGATTGCAGGAAACCATCATCAACGTGGAATTAGTGTATGACTTGAATTCGTGTGATGCCAATCCCGACACCTTTTTACATACAAAATTCAGTATAAAGCATCGATCGATAGATTTGGCAATCCAGCACAATACCATCCCGATGCATCTCTCTTGAGCGAGCCCAGCTGATATTTGTCGTCTGAGAGGATGTTACGGGCCACGAGCACCGATCGACGTTCATCGATGAATTGCCGATGCACATAGTTTTGCATCATGTCCCCCACGACTTGGTTGCCAATGTTGCGGCGGCGGTACACCAGTCGTCGGTCCGTCCACCACGTGTTGTCGACCTATGTACATATAAACCATCGAAACTTAACAGTCAATATATATATATATATATCTAAGGTTATATGGAGTGCAAAGTGCATTCCAATTTAAAAGAAACATTTCTCAGTGTCAATACTATTGTGGATTATTCGGTACAAATTTCGAAAAGCGTATCGAATCGACGTTATAAGCTAATCCAATTTTTGACTGGATGTGATAGCTTCAGCGCACGAAAAGTTCCAGCGAGATTCAATATTGACTAGACAACTAACTACGCGAATTTTGGACGCACACTATTGTGCTTTTCGCCAAAATATTTGCCAATTTGAATGGGGCGTTGTTGAAATCACCACGAAATCAAAATATCCATTCATATAAAGAATGAAAGTAGGAACATGCTTGGCTAAACTAGTATACGTTTTACACTCAGATATATATATAGATATATATATTAGATATCACAGGTCCGGCGATTGTGTTTTTTGGTGGCATCATTCAACGGAGGGAAATGTGAAACACCCAGAAACAAAAGCCCAAATATCAAGGCAAATCCTAACTGTCCAATTTCCCTTTGTTCACAATACTACGATATCATACTTGTCAATGTGATAACGTCAATATGGTCTCTGACACTCGTACAGACGACAAGGAGAAGAATCCAGCCAGGATGTGAACCAGAGGATTGCATGTACTTATGTACGTCAAACAGTATCTCACATAACGCAAACATCATCACACACAAGTCCACTCTATACAATAATCAAGGTTGAGAAAATAGTATACCTTGTCCGAGCGGACAACAGAACTATCGTTTTCGTCGTCGTTGTCGTCGTGAAGGGTTTCCACGGCATCGTAGCCAAAGCCATTGGATGCAATGAAAAACGAGTGATACCTCGCGGTGACGCTATCCCACGACTCGTCTACCTCTCGCTGATGGCGAATGGTCACGGTGTGGCCGCCATCTCGTTCTTCCGCCACTTGGATGTCAAAGAAGAGCTCACCGGTCGCTGGAAACCCTAGGCCCGCCACGACGGCGTCGGCGTTGTGGTACAATTGCGTGGTGATCCAGTCCAAACCCTCCCGTCGGGCTGGCGGACTGCGAGGTAGCGACACGTGCTGCCACGTTTCAATGATCCCTTGCCGCAGACAAGTCTACTCAACGACAGATTCATACTAGCAGTAGTAGCTAGGACTAGTAGTACTAGTGCATACCCGGGCTGCTAGGAGATTGGTCGCGTAGGTCCACATGGCCCGGCCAAGGCGAGCTTGGTTCACCACTTGCACCTGAAGCTCCCATGCGTCAGACCGACTCACTTGCGCGGCGTCTTGCAGAGCTAGCGCAATGTCTGCCCACGACAACATGCCTGTTGAACATGGCGGTCGATTCTTTCGCCCAGAGGCGGCGGCGACGGCGGTGGCCTTGGCGGCCTCGAGCTCGACCACGAGCTGCCGAAGTTGCTGCCGCTCTCCCGATCGCACCTTTCGATACCGTTTCTGCGCATGACGCTGGTACTCGTTGCGGTGGCGGGCGCGAGTGGGCTTGGTGTCGTGCCGACGCTGAGGTGCTTCCATCACTTTGTTATTGTGGCTTGGACGACGTAGTGAGGTAACGTGTGCATTCTGATTGGCCGATGCGATGGAGTCGACAGGCGAAACTGCATTTATTTGGATTGTATTGGGGAGTATATTCGTTCGACAGGGCAATGCGACACTTCCTTCGCTACGAATAAACCGAAGCAGCCAACAAACTTCGATATTTGGAGCTAACGTAAAAAAACAGTAGATATCAGACACTTTTCATGACGAAATTTATTTAATTACATATAGACTCTAGTGAATACGTTTCATATTGACAATAGTATTACGAATCCCACTGATTGGATGCATAGTGTATTAACAGCTGTAAGGCTAAATAAATAGGGCCATCAACTGATCTTTTCAAAATTCACAATTTTGACTTTGACCAGCAATAACTTGGTGAAGCATACATCGAATCCTTCAAAGCTTGCTTGTATCATGTAGCGCGTTCAATCGTCTATAGCAGCATAGTTGAAAGTTCGTCCAAATCGTCTTATTTGTTAAGGAAGCGTAAAAAAGCTAAGGGGTCCATTTTCGGGCCATCTACTGGTTTTTTACGTGCATTAGCTACGTAGCTATTGTAGCTATTGATAACTGTATGTATTACACCAAACACATTTGCTAACAGAGTACTACGTAGTAACTTTAAATTATAGCACGAAGAGTTTACCTGCAATCCTACAAACTGTTTTTGTTTACAATTTTTTTATTGCCTACGAGTTTTATGTATGCGCACTAATGCCACTACTTCGCGAGATTTCTCGTCACCGGACGTCCAAGAGGCCTAAATGAACCACGTAAGACTAATCGATCAAGAAATGTCAAACATACTACTGTACGTCAAGTCCCTCAGCATCAAAGGGGCTACCGTATACCTTATGGATCTGTACCCCCGAAAATGTCAGTAAAATCTGATCGAAATGGATACAACTCAATAAGGTGGTCTGATTTCTTTCCAATGCGTTCGGATTGGTTACTTTTTCTACTTTGACTTGTTTAATTGGCTAGAACGAGATAATTGAATATTTTTGACCAATATAAAGCGACTTGGGTATAGCCTTCCAAAGGTACCACCAAATCGTACTTTATTGACACCATACAGCAATTTGGGTACAACTCGATAAGGCAAAATCATGGATACTGATCCAAAAGGTATACTGTAGAACAATCGAGTCTGCCTCGATTCCTGCAGGGGGGGTTGGATTTAGGGGTGTATTACTTGCTGCGTTGGAAATTTTGACTCCAAACGTTGGGATACACCAACTTTGACGGTGGCCCATTGCGAGAAGGACAGATGGCCATATGGAAGGAAGTCCTGGCCACAGATAATTTATCTGTAAAGGACAGATGGCCATATGGAAGGAAGTCCTGGCCACAGATAATTTATCACAGATAATTTATCTGTAGCTTCAAATATGAAAAATATTGTCGCAAAACGCATGTAACTGAGCATTGCACCTTTGGCGCGGATGGTGGTTGTGGTACAGCAGCATGACTGGTGGGGGCATGTTGTGTGGTATCAGCTGTGTCAACAGGTCTTCTACGCGTTCAACCCTCTTCAGCCACTAGCTTCTTGGATGTTAGATTAACTGGTGTTGACAGTGCCGTCTACATTTTGAAGGAGTACTAACTATAAACCTGAAAGACCTACGACTGGGTACGCGTGGGTGTGATGAGGAACCTATTAACAGTAAGCATTGCATAGCCCGCCTCGTTGATGGGAAGGTACAGTACATATTAACGTTAATAGTATTAATACTAGTACATACTCGATCAATTTTTCACCAATCGAAAATCTGAACCGTAACTTCTGTTGGGCTTGTCCAGTTCTATCGTTATTACGGTATATTTTCCTAAAATATATCAATACAAAGTTGTAATAGCTGTCGAAAGTCAAGGCATTTATTTGTAGTCTTTAGGTGACTTGCACCATAACTACTACAGAGAACCGAGTAGGAACTCGCGCACAGTGGTATCGACACTATTTTTTTTCCATGGATCATTCATAAATTCCGACGTCAACCAATAGTATTTTTTCATATTTTATATTTTAACCAATAGTATGCTCATAAAAAGTTTGTAAATTTTATGATTGGATATAATAAAATTAATCAGATTGA